TATTTATTTATTTATTTATTTTTTGCCTTTTTGAATCAGGGTCTCACGGTGCAGTTCAGGCTGGCCTTGAGCTCACTTTGTAGCCCAGGCTGGTCTGGAACGCACAATGAGTTTCCTGCCTCAGCCTCCCGAGTGTGGGATGACAGATGTGCGCCGCCACACCCAGCTGTCCACTGTGTTTTAAAAGAAAAAAAATCAATTTTAAGTGTCCAGCAGTATGGGATTAGTTAAATAGATTGTAGTACAATGATGTCTAAAACAATATGGTCTGCTTTTGACAAGGAAAAATGTCTACAGCGCTGTTAAAGGAGAAAGTGTGACCACGTGTTGGTGGGACAACAGGTGCATACACATGCTTAGGCACAGAGGAAATGCCCTCCTGAAGGAACATGTACACTAAGTTGTAAATAAATTAGGGTTCGCTGACTGGTAGTAGTCAAATTTCTATTAACTAAAAATTTTAAATGTATATATACCAATACCCAGTATAATATTTTAATTAGTTATTACTTTTTTGTGACACCTATTGTCTCTTAAAACAGGTTATAGTTTGGCGACTTAATTCAGGCATTGTGTTGATGCAGAGGTGACATTATACTGGTTCTAGTGTTGGGAAGTTAAGATTTAATTGGCTTGGAACACTTTTTTTCCTTTTAGATGCAGACATTCAAGTTGGGTGGGAACTAGAATAACTGATTGAACAGTGTAGCTGGATGGGAATGGAGACATCTGAGGAATCTGTTAAAAATCAGAGGCGAGTGTGCCCGAGGTACCAACCAAACAAGCCATCAGAGGCTCTCAGCGAGTGCAGCCTGGAGAGCAGTAGGGGGCACCATTTATTCCCCACATGTTTGCTACAAAGCTGCTGTGTAGCAGGCGCCTGTCCTACCCACTGTGCCTGGCAGCTTATGTGAACACAGAGCCAAGAACAAAAGCGAGCGGGTATGAAATGGCTAGCGAGAGCTGGGGCTGCACAAGCCTTCTGCGAGGAGGGCTCCATGGCGCCTCCTGAGGGCCTGCAGGGCGGAGAGCAGCGGCCGGACCAGGCCAACAGGTGCGGCCCGGGCGAGAACAGGCGGTAGCCTGAGTACGCTGGGAAACTGGCCAGGGGTCTTACGCTGAAGCACGGCATCCTGAGCTGCAGGGTCTCGCTGAGCAGCTCAGGCTCACAGCAGTCCTCCTGTCTCAGCTCCCCAGCACTGCTGGGGTTAGCGCGCCACCACGCCCAATGTGGCATCATTAGATTCACGCTGAAAACAGTCACTGCAGTTGCTACTGATCAAAGAGGAAGAGCACAGTAAGCCAAGCGGGCAGACTCAGTCGGAAGCTGCAAGGGCCAGCCAGACAGTGCAGCGGATTAAAGCGCCTGCTTAGGCAGATGCAGGGACTGGGGTTCAATCCTCGGCCTGCGGTGCTGGCCCCGCCCCTGGGGCACCCTGAGATGGCAGATGAGACTGGGCGTGGTAGGACGTGCCTGTAATCCCAGTGCTTGGGAGACTAAAAAAAGAAAATCACTACGAGTCTGATCTGTGCGGTGATACCCTACAGAGCCTGTACTAAATACAAAAAAAGGAAATTGTCATTACCCCTGCGTCAGAGTCCTTTGCTTTTTTCAATCTTGTACTTGACATCAAATGTTTACTTCTTCTAAAATGCACAACTATAGGTGAGGCGAGTAGTCCAGGATCTGGATGCAGAACTTTTGTGGTATAAAAATAAACTTTTTTCAGACTTTATTTCAACAAATCAAAATCAAACTTTATTTCTACAATAAGTTAAGTCCTCAAAATATCAAGCTATATCTGTTCAATTTTTTATTTTTCCCAGTTACTAGTTGTATTGTTTACTTTAGTAAACTCTGCTTTCTGGTATTTTAAAGGTTCATGTTATAAAGACTTTAATGAGGCTGTTTTTTGGGGGGCGGTCTTTTTGAGACAGTGTTTCACTGCTACACAGTTCAGGCTGGCCTTGAACTTACTGTGCAGCCCAGACTGGCCTTGAGTTTGCAGGGATCCTCCTGCCTCAGCCTCCTAAGTGCTAGGATTTACAAGCTTGCGCCACCACCCAGCACAACTTTTCTAATGACTGCTATATTCTCATTTATTAAAACTCAGCTATTTTTCCTGACAAATTCCTGAAAGTTGTCATCATAGAGTACTTCCACATAGGTAGTGCTCTGTGTTTTATAATGTCATACTATTCCTTGTAAGATTCATGCAGTAGTTACAGAGGTCACTGACAGATAACTGCTGCCGTCTCTACTTCGTTCCTCAGTGTCTTTAACATGTACCACCCTGGGTGCGTTGCAAGCAGTCATCCAAAGGAAGGCCAGCCCTGCGCATGGTCTGTGAGTTTGTTTAGTTTGCTAACGATATAATGATCAAATTCTAGTCAAACATTATCCATCGAAAGTCCTTCTTCATAAGTTTAGCTTTTTATCACTGTAAGCCTGATGTAAGCTGATACTGTATCCGCCACTCCTTGCCTCCAGGCTTGGGAGAGGTCTTCTGGTTTTGGAGGCATAAGGAGAGGCCGTAGTGCGCTGGTTGTCTGTCTGCCTGTCTCCACGCCGCCTCCTCAGCCTCATGCCCTCTTTCTGTATCCTTTCTTCATTGGACCTGGTACGTTTCTGTGACTGTCAGCAGCAGCATACTCAAGCGCAGCCGGGCACGGCTGTGACCTCAGCACTCGCAGAGGCTGAGACGGGAGGACCACAAGTGGGGCAAGTTAGCAAGACCCTAGCTCAGAGGTATGCCACAGAGTAAGAAGGACTGGGAGCACGGCTCCGTGTGGAGGCCGTGAGCTCAGGCCCTGGCACCACACACAGCACTCCCTGGGCCATGGCGGTGGCAGGGAACATGCCTGCAGTGGGGAGTGTGGCTCAGTGGCAGGGAGCTGTCTGTGTCCAGGGTGAAGACAGCCCTGGGCACTGCTTCAAGCCCCAGAAAGCCACCCTGGCCAGTCCCCGGTGAGGCCCTGGAGGCCGCAAGCCACCTGTGGCAGCCAAGGTGTCCTGCACTCAGATCCACGAGAAGGGGCCGCACAAGGGAAGCTCACATTTTTCAAGACTGCTTATGATACTGAAAGCTAGACTCCAGGCCAGGCGTGGTGACGCATGCCTACAATGCCAGCATCTGGGAGGTGGAGCGCCACCCCGCTGCGCGTTCAAGGCCAACCTGAGCTAGTGAGTGAGACTGTGTCCCTCAAAAACAAGAGAACAACATACTAAGCTCCAGCCACAGGGGGGCAGTAGACGGACCCTAGCGCGGAGCTTGGCCGAGGCAGCCTGCAGCAAGCTCACGTGCTGCGGCTGCGAAGACAGCACCTAGGGCTGTGTGGTGGGATGTGGAGCGATTTTTACTTTTGCCTTATTTCTCTGCCTTTTATAAATTGCTTAGTAAGTGTGTTACTTTTTAACTAGACAAAGCTTTTTTAAATTTTTCTAATCACGTTTTTAACAGTATTATTTTCTTCAGCTAGTCTGCTTGGGCCATCATAGTTGCTGTGGGTGTGAGGCCGTGGAAGGCCAGCACCACGGCCGGGTCCTCCTCCACGGTGCCCTGCACGGTGCTCCTGCCTCCCGCAGCCCTCGGCGCAGTGGTGCTCAGCGTAAGCGCGTGCGCGTGTGACCTGAGCAGGGACGCGGTAGCATCCAGAGCTCACGTACTACTTGTTTCAGAGATCGCCTTACGAGTTGGGTAGCTGAGATTACAGATGCGCACCTCTGTGCCTGGCTTAAGACATTTTTTTTGACAAGTGTTTTCTGTAATTCCTTAAGACTGTGTAGCAGTTCTTAGTCAAGGTTCTGCGCGTACAGCGACCCCTGCCAAAGCTAAAGGAACCCACTGGTAGGAGCAGCGTTCTGTCAAAGGCTTCACGAGGGACGGGAGCGAGGTTGGAAGACGGGGCAGCTCCCTCGTTCGGGCTCTGCGAGCACGGGCCAGCCCCCAGGCACCAACGCGCGTGTCGGCTTTCTCCTCATGCTGCTGCCTGTGGTCATGCAGCTCGTGGCCACCGCCCGTGCTGGCTGGCCCTGCCTCTGGCCAGCACAGTGGGGCGGCCAGCCACCACCCGAGCTTGAAGCCGCGGCCAGGCTCAGGCGGGCCTCGCGCGGCCAGGTCTGTGGCCAGGCACTGAGTACGGAGGGGGCGCCGCGAGCGTTGTTTTGTGACAGAGATGAGATCTTTTCCAGAAGTGCCAGCCAATTAAATTCTGTGTGCATGTCTGTACATGAGTGTTACACAAGTTTAAAACTTTAAAAATTAGTGCACTTCTGAGGAATTCCTAAATACCCACGATGAAGTGACAGCACCGTAGCTCACATTGCTTGTAGCCTGCTGTAACCAGAACATCAGGCCCCTGCGTCACGGAGTAGCCCTCCCCGCACGCAGTCTCCCCAGGGCCCTTTCCGGAAACTGGTCCCTGTGCGTCAGAGACAGGGAGGACCCTGTGCACGACTGTACCTAGTCCTGGAGGAAGGTGAGGAGGAGCACTGGGCAGCTGTTTTTCTCTCCCTGTAATAATAGCAATAAAATGCCCTGGCTAAAACCATGGCATGGTGGTATAGCTGAGCCCTCCCACTGTGAAGGACAGTTGGCACTAAAAATACTGGTCTGCCTGATTTTTAAAATATAATTACCTCTAAAGATAATACGAGTATTCCTAAATCTTAAGTAGTCTAACCGCACTTTAGATTAAAAATCATTTTATGGCCTAATTTTAACCAGTTCTGTTCAAGCAGAGCTCGGAGCTGCACAGCACTTCTCACAGTGCTGCATACTCTGTGAAGCAAGGGCTCACTGTACTTTATGTTGTTTGTCTTCTCTTCTCCCACGTGGGTGAGCACACGTGGCCCCAGAGCGTGGTGTGAGTTGTGGGCATGCAGGGATTCCCGCGCTGGTGGAGCGCCAGGGCCGGGAGAGTGTGCCCGGAGCGCCTGGCGGGCGGCACGAGGCCCCCGCTGGGAACCCGATGCAAGCAGCCTTCTCTTTCCGTACCAGATGCTCTAGATGAATACTTTGAATACGATGCAGAGGAGTTCCTCGTCTCTCTGGCCTTGCTGATAACAGAAGGACGGACGCCAGAATGTTCCGTGAAAGGTCGTACGGAGAGTTTCCACTGCCCGCCGGCGCAGTCCCATCACCCTGTCACCACCCGACATGAGTGCAGCGACAAGCTGGCCCAGGTGAGCCCAGTGTGCGTTCTGCCTCCTGTCCTGCAGACTGGTTTAACAGCTGTCTTTCCTGCACACTTGTTTGTTAACAAGTCTTTTTGACGCAGGGTTTTGCTGTGAAGTTCAGGCTGACCTTGAGCTCACTTTATAGCCCAGGCTAGTCTCGAACTCACAATGATCCTCCTGCTCCAGCATCCTGAGTGCTGGGATTACATGAATGTGCTACCACGCCTGGCTTCAGACTAGTTTAACATGTACCTTTCCTGCAGACTAGTTTAACATCTGCCTTTCCTGCAAGTTAAAGTCTGTCATAGCCCTAGGAAATCAGTTTCAATTTTCCCATTTAAATGGAAAATGGGCCCTTTGGTCTCGGTGGCACAAGCGAGATTTGGAAAGCATTGTAATAAGACGCACACGTTGTGCCGCCGCTGTGGCTCTAAGGTCTACCACCTTCAGAAGTCGACTTGTGGTAAATGTGGCTAACCCGCCAAGCGCAAAAGAAAGTGTAACTGGAGTGCAAAGGCTAAAAGGCGAAATACCACCAGAACCGGTCAAATGAGGCACCTAAAAATTGTACATCGCAGATTCAGGCATGGCTTCCGCGAAGGAGCGACACCTGAACCCAAGAGAGCAGCACTTGCAGTGTCCAGATCATCTTGAGAATTGCAGCAATCACTCAAATGCTTTGGTTTTAAAAGAAAAAAAAAATAAATATAAATAAATAAATAAAAGGAAAACGGGCCCTTCTGGTGGCAGGGCGCAGCTGGAGGCCCCGCCTGCTCCGAGGAGGACAGGCTCCGCGCCTGCCTCCTCCTCACCCTTGGCCAGCTTTGTGGGTGTGAGTTCTCTGTCTTCCTCGTAGAGTCTCAGACTTAGCTCTCCCGCTCTGGGATGGCATGGACGTAGCAAACTGGCGCTGGGGCCTTTGCCCACTTTACCAAATTTCCCTTTTGCTTTTACTTTTTTTTTTTTTAAGTGCAATATACTCTTGTTATTAACACTTTAAAAATACTGCTAAAATATTTTGGTAGGTGGCATGTAATTTGCCTTAAGAATTTTTCTTACAATTACTAGTTTCTCAAATGTAATTTCTCAAATTTTTAAACATCTTGCCTGTTTTGAGGATTTAATGAAAGTTGGTCTTTAGTAGTTTCACATTCAGATTTATAAATTAATCTTTCCCATGAAGTGATAATGAAATGAAGAACTCAGCAAGATGGGGCCAACCCTGAGACCTGTCCGACATGATATGTACCAGCTCTTTCCACAAGATAAAGCAAAGATGTCCTCCCTCGCAGAAAATGGGCCTGGTGCCCTGGTCTGTAATCCTAGCGCTCTGGGAGGCTGGGGCAGGAGCATCACAAATTCCAGCCCAGCCTCAGTAACTCAGTGACTCAGTGAGACCCTGCCATTATTCATGCATACATAAAGATAAAAGTAATTTTAAAAACTAACATAAGTAACCCTAAGCCTGTGCGCTAGAGCTCACCATGAGTGGTCCTTCAGTGGGAAAATCTGAATAGCTCAGGCGAGCAAACCACCTCAGATGACTCATCTGCTCTGGTAACTGCCTTCCCATCGGCATATGCCTTACCTTTTTTTTGTATTTTAGTAAGGGTCTACTCTACAGGGTCTACAGGTTCTCACTATGTAGATCAGACGCGTAGTGATCTGCCTATGTTCAGCCTCCCAAGAACTGGGATTACAGGCACCCGCCACCACACCCAATCTCAGTCGAATCTCAGTGCAAGGCCAGCACTGAGGATTAAACCCAGCCCGCACAGTGCACCTAAGCAGGCACTTTAATCTGCTGAGCTATTTGGCCAGTCCTGCCTTCCTTTTAAACAGCCAAGATGTTTAAAAAGATGTCAGGCTTGAGTACAGAACCAGGTGAGTGATGGCAACATTCCCCTTGTTTGTTCCCTCCCAAGTGTCGCCAAGCCAGGCGCACAAGGTCCGAGGTCACCATGCTGTGGAGGAACAGCCTTCCGATCATGGTGGAAGTGGCCTTGCTCCCGGACTGCTGCTACAGTGATGATGGGCCCAGCACAGAAGGGGCTGATCTGAGCGACCCTGCCCTGGAGCAGGACGCCCTGCTGCTGGAGAGATGGGTCCTGGAGCCCGTGCCGCGGCGGTAAGCGCATCTCAGGGCCGCGGTGCTCCTGGTGGAGCAAGCTCCCCTCTGCTCCCCTCATATCACTTAGTAATGTAGCGTGTCTGTGTCTCTGTACTCGGGGGGATAAAACTGAGGGGCTTAGCACTGCCCTTAGGTGGCGTGACTGCATATGGTGCTGGTGAGCGACGTCTGTGCTCTCACAAACGTGCACCCTGACACTGGGTTTCTTTCATCCTCTCTCTTCCTAAATTCACTGCTTCCTTAGGAATGGCGGTCGACTCGTTGAGGAGAAGATGCTCCTACTGGCTGTCCGCTCGTTTGTGTTCTTTTCCCAGCTAAGTGCTTGGCTGAGTGTTTCGCACGGTGCGGTCCCAAGAAACATCCTGTACAGGTATGTCTTGGGTAGGAACAGGCAGCATGCCACATTTTGCTTGTATCGTTCTTCCCGTCACATCCTAGTAGGAGTGGATATCACTGTTTTTTTTTTTTTTTTATGTTTTTCTTTTTATTTATTTATTGGATACAGGGTCTTACTGTGTAGTTCAGACTCATACTGATCCTCCTGTCTCAGCCTCCCCAGGGCTGGTATTACAGGCATGCACCACCACACCCTGTTTCAGGGCTGGTACAGCATGCAGTACTGGGGAATTGAACTCAGTACCAAGAATTGAACAGGGTACTGGGGATCTAACTCAGGTCTTTGCGCTTGCCAGGCAGGCACTTAGAATGCTGAGCTATCTCCTCAGCCAATACTAAGTTTTTCTTCAAACAAGTCAGATAAGTTTAGACTGACTTGGTATGAATTTTTCTGGTTGGGTGAAATTTCTTACAGAATAATGTCCAGAGCACTTTAAGCTTCCTTTAGAGATCCAAGAATGGATTTAACACAGCCCCGGTAAGGTGGAAGCATTTTCTGAGCTTCTGCATCTGTCATGCCAAGTTGTCGTGAACAGATCTGGCACTGTGACCCACACCTGAGGGCCCAGCTGCCCAGCCTGAGGCACAGGGACAGCTTCCGACGAGGGTCATACGAGAACCCATTTTTTAAGAAGTGTACACAACACGCAGGTAGACATAAGGTGGTTTTCCTTCATCACCTTGCACAGTAAAATTAGCCAAGCCCCTTTAACCCATGTAGTCAGTAGTAAAGAGGAAGTCCTTTTTTTCTATTTTGACAACTTTTTAAAACTCTAACGTTAACCTTTGTACCACTCCTTGCAGTGACTTTACCCGCACTACGTGCACGGGAACGCGGCTCAGAGCGAGCCCCACAGACAAGGGTGAGCGCACGTCGGCTCACTTTGTAACACGGTGCGCAGGGCGGAGGTCTGCTCAGGTGGCCCGCTAACTCTGTGCTTCTCTGTTGGACTCTAGGGTCAGTGCCGCTGATGCAGACCTGCGGTGGCGTTTCCCCCAGACTCCAGTTGAACACGTGTTTCCTGTCCCCAGTGTTTCTCACAATGTGGCCTTGAAAGTCAGCGTCCAGTCCCTACCCCGACAGTCTGCTTACCCAGTCTGGAGCTGTAGTATTCATACTAACCTTGGCCTTTATGGGGAGAGAGTTCAGGCACAAGAGCCTGAAGGCCGTCAGCCCCACAGTTCCACTGAAGCAGCGCAGTGTGGACCAAACAGCTTGCAGCGTCTGTGTGGCAGGCAGACGTGGACCATGGCACCTGAGAGTGTACCACATGAGAGGGACAGCCCAGCTCCGGAGGACACTGCAGCCACCAGGCACAGTGGGCCTCATCCAGGGGGCAGGAAGTCCCCGTACGGGACATCTCGGGCCAGCCTGCTGGGCTTGAGTGGCCTAGGAGACATGAAGCCACATGAAACATCTCTGAGAACTTGGAAGTCACTTTCAGTGGTGGATTCCAACATCTCCAGCCATCAGAGCTCCTGGCAGCCGGCTGGTAAGATGAACCCTCTAATAGACTCCTTAATTCAGGATCGACAAGAAGTCATTGCAAGAATTGCGCAGCACCTGATTCACTGCGATTCAAACACCCCCCATGGCTCCGCACACCCATTCACCACTCAGGAGTCCCCCTCCCTGCATCCGAAACTGTGCCAGGTGTCCCGAGAGAGGCACAATGTGAGAAAAGGGAAAGACGCTTTTTCCATGTCTTTGGGGAGTCCAGAGTTCCCCTCCATGGAAGACGGTGATGAGGGGAACATTCTAGGGAAACCAGACCATTGGAAAAGTGAGACTCACGTCTCTGGTGCTCTGTGCCCGCACCAGGGTGCGGGAGAGGCAAACCCTCTGATAGGCTCCCTGCTGCAGGAACGGCAGGACGTGATTGCCAGGATTGCCCGGCACCTGGAACACGTTGACCCCAGGTCGCCCCGCCTGCACGGCCCCAGCAGCCTTCCCTCCAAAGTGCTCCACAGTTCCTGCAGCGACAGGCACTTGTGGAAGAGGAGCAAGGACAGTGCCTGCGCTTCCCTTCCGCTTCCAAAGCCGGCCTTGTTGGGAGATGGTGCCAACACAAAAAGCTCACTACCTGCTAAGTCTTGGAGTTCTTTTGCGTGCAACCGTAGAGAAAAGTCCTCTGCGAAACCCCAAGTACGGACGCAGGGCTGGCATGGTCCTCCTGATGGTGTGCCGAGCTCTTGGCCTGAGGCCCAGAACACAGCTGCTACGCCACCCGCTGCCTCAACCGCCTCCCAGTGCAGTGACAGCGACTTGGGTTTGATCAGTAGGCTGGAGAATGTACTCGCAGAGCCACAACTTCAGGAGCAGGAAGGCAGCATTAGCCCTGCCGAGCAGCATTCAGCTGGCAGCAGTACTGATGCGAGGGTCTGCACACAGAAGTACGAGGGAGGGAGAATCGGCAGTGACAGCAGAAGCCCAGAATCCTCTGGCAGTCCCCAGCGTGATGACTCAAAAACAGGCGACTCACGTGTGCAAGTTACTATGTTAGAAATGTCTGAATATTTAAACAAGTATGAATATAATTGCTCAAATAAAGACTCAGCAAAGCCCAAGACACACGAGCAGAATTCTCAGCTGAACAGCATAGAAAATTATCTCAGTAAAAATAACAAAGGTTTCAAATGCAAAAAATCAGGCCAGGTAACAAATGAGGAGGATAAGAAAGAAGATTCACTGGCTGAACAAGCTCAAAACTGTTCTCAAAGAAAGAGTACAAAAGGCTGTTTGTCTGCTTGTGAACAACTGAAAAATACAAAGATATTGGTAGGTAACATGTAGCATTTCAAATGTGAATCTCAGCTGTTTATTGGGCTTGAATTTTGTTCACAGGAGACGTAGTTGTACCAGCCATGGTGCCCGTTGCCCGGAGAGCCCGTGGTCTGCTTCCCTGAACTGCTGGGCAGTTAGCATCCCGGCCAGTACACCACCCTCTTACAGCAGGGGCTAGATGAACAGAAGAAATGACGGTCTTGTGATTGAAAACATGAGGAGCGACTAGCTGGGCATCGTAGCGTTTGTCCTCCATCCCAGCACCTCCGAGCCTGAAGCAGGAGGGTACTGCTTAAACCCAGGCTGGGCAACTTAGCGACTTACTGAGACAGAGTGAGGCCCTGGGTTCAGTCCCAATACCACAATCAAGCAGTGAGTGGTACCTTTTCTAAAGAATAGCTATTGAGGCAGTACTTTTTAAAAATCCAATAAGTCTGCCGTTTAGGTCTAAAAGGACTGTTACTTTGTCATCTACGCAGTTTTATTTATTTATTTATTTATTTATTTATTTATTTATTTATTTATTCGGTACTGGGGATCGATCTCAGGATCTTGCACTTGCCAGGCAGGTGCTTATGCCACTGAGCCATCTCTCCTGCCCATGTCATCTACTCAGAAGCCCTAGGTTTTTCTGTATTTGGCCTGAGGACTTCAGAGAACGAAGGAGCACTGTTTCGTGTAGATAAGGACACTAGGATGTAGTTAGTCTTGGTAGCTTGACTCTCTTTGCATCGCAGTCTGACTAGGGAACCCTTGGTTTTTAGGGTTTGCTGCCAAGGAACAGGTAAGATAGGCAGAGGAGGCTGAGGCTCTGTGTTCCTGGCATACGGGAGCATCTGCATAGGCCCTTCTGGGCCGGCAGCTCTGCACGTGTTCCATGACCTGAGTGACGCTCTCCCCATGCCGCCCCAGAGCCGGCGGAGTGTGCGCCCTGCGTGGGCTGGTGCACGCAAGCCCTACTATGACACTCTGTGTTTATTTCCCTACTTGGGGACCACTGGTGGAGAGTGGAGGGGACCCGGGCTTGATTAGCATAGGCTGCCAGCCCTGCTGGCCTTGCTGCTGCGCAGGGCCCCAGGCACGGTAGCTCACGCAGCCTGACGCTTCCGTCTTAGGGGACAGTACACATGTGTGACTCGCATTTGCCTCTCAGCGTTGTGATGATGATCCAGTAATGTGTTTTATAAACCTTTCATGTGCTCTCTGAATTAAGAGATTCCTTGAAACTTCACTTCGCACCGACACCCTGGCCCTAAGAATGGGAGGTTTTTTGCCAGGTGCAGTGGTGCATGCCTATAATCCCAGCTACTTGGAAGGCTGAGGCAGGAGGATTGAGATGTAAAGCCCAACCTGGTAAGATCCCTGTCAGAGAGAGTGGCAGGGAGGGACGGAAGGAAGCAAAGAAAGAAGAAAAGAAAGTGAGTATTGGCATGTGTATACTCCTCGCTGGCCCTCGGCAGGAGGCTTAGTCTGACTGGGATGTTCGCCAGGCCACTGTGATACCAGGTTTCCACAGGCACATTCAGGCCCAGCCATAGAGCGCTTGCCAGGTGCCAGTGCGTGCCCCACGCCTTGCTTCCTGGCCCTCGCCTGCCCTGCAGGTGGTCCTCTCTCCTGACTTGGGTCAGTGGCAGAGGACCGTGGCCCAGGGTGGGCGGCTGACCTGCCCACTGCCATGGCGCTGTTATGTGGGAAAGCCACACTCCAAATTAGCTTTCCCTGGTTTTTATTTTTTATTTGTGTGTTTTATGTATTTCTAATTTTTAATGTTTGCCCAATTTTTAAGAATTAGTCCCTCCCTCCCTTCCTTTCCGATTTTATTTCTTCTCTTTCTCTGTTCCTTTTTCTTTTCCTTAATTATTTTTTAGACAAGCTCTTTTGTCTTTTTGAGGCAAGGTCTCACTACACAGTTTTGCAGTTCAGGCTAGCCTTGAACTCTCTTTGTAGCCCAGGCTGGCCACAAACTCACAGTGATCCTCCTGCCTCAGCCTCCCAAGTGCTGGGGTGACAGGCATACATCAACACACCCAGCCTAGACAGGTTTCTGTGTTGCCCTGGCTGGCTTCAAACTTCTTAGCCTAAGTGATCCTCCTGTATCCGCCTCCAAAGACCCGAGATTCCAAGCATGTGCAGCCATGCCTGCCTTTCCTGCCTTTCCTCCAGTTTTAATTGAAGAATGTTTAAGTGGTCTTTGATCATCTCCAAAATATAGTGCTTTTGACCATACTATGTCTCTTAAAATTGGCAGTATTTCTGATGTTTCCATCTCATGAAGCACCAAATTAAATCCTCTGAAAACGGCTGTTGATGTGGACATAGTTTTGTATTTTAAAATGTCCTACTTTTTTTTGTCTCCCAAGTAGTTGTTTTTTACAAATTAAATACTAGCCTGTTTGATGCTAGATTCTCTAAGTAATGTGTTGATGAGGCAGCTATCTGGGCATACTTTAGAATGTTTCTTCAGTATATTAAAGCAAGATAAAAACACAGGTATTGTCTCCCTGTTGGCTTTGGGCCCAGGCTAGAGCTGTTCTGTGCTTCCGGACCAAGGCCATGACACTTCAGAGCATCTCGGAAGCCCACAAGGTCTGTAGCGGCGTGTGAGTTGTCTTTAAATGTCACCACTGAACAGCAATTCTTTCCCTCACAGAAGACCGCACCAGCATACTCGCGTGTCTGGCCAAAGCCTACCTTTCATCCCTTGGATGGAACTTCAACCCGGGCCTTTCACCCCCGAACTGGATTGCCTCTTCTTTCAAGTCCTGTAAATGTTTTTTTCTCTTATTTCATGCTGAATACCTGCAAGTGTGTGAAATGTTTGCAGGTCCCTTTATTTGAATTTTAATTGAAGAATGTTTGAGTGGTGTTAAATTCGATCCTGTGGAACCCATTGTGGCCAGCAGAGGAAGTGGGCAGCCCCTGTGCCCAGCTCAGGCTGCCTCGGATTTAGTTTCTTAAAACTCAGTCACCTAGGGCCGGCCAGATAGTTCAGCAGATTGAAGCGCCTGCTTAGGCAGATGCAGGGAGCGGGGTTCATCCCCAGCATGCGGTGCCAGCTCCACCCCCAGGGTGCACTGAGACCGTGACTGAGACTGTGTGTGGTAACGCGCGCCTGTAATCCCACCGCGTGGGAGGCTGAAAACAGAAGGATCACTCTGAGTCCGATCTGTGCAGTGAGACCCTGTAGACCCTGTACTAAATACATTAAAAAAAAAAACCCAGACACCTTTCGTTAAAGATGATCTCACAGCAGCAGTAAAGAATTGGCAGCAAGGAGAGACGTGAGCTGCAAGTAGCGTGCTCAGAGCAGCCAGCAGGGACTTACAAGTAATTCTTCTAGCACTGTAGCGCTGAGAAGGCAGAGCCGGGAAACTAAGATGAAAGAACACGGGGGTGGGGAGAAGCACTGAGAGAGCCTAGCTGTGAAGAGTCGGGTGCACCTCCGAAGGGTGAGGTCGCAGCAGCCTGGAGCCAGCGGGGTGGGAACTTCGAGAGGGAGCAGGCGTAGAGAAACGAGAAGTGAGATCTGAAGGCGCCACGCAGGGCAGAGTGGTAAATCTAGACCTTCCCAAAGCGCCGGGGAGAATAAAGGAAGTCCTAAGAAGGGATTAGAGAATGGTCCAGAACTGAAGGCTCAGAGTTTAAGTTGAGAATTTCACAACTAAGTTCCGACCACAACGTAGGGCATGGTGAGCTCACGCAACTCTCACGACTGTGATTTTAAGTTTTCCAAAATCATCTGAGATAGCTTATCCACACTTAATATTCTAAAAACAGCTCTTTCCTGTCATGTTGAGCATGGCTTTTTCTTTAATTTTTGTTTGACTCTGGTGTCAGGGTGTTTGGAAGGAGGCGGCACCTCCTCCTGAGGGTGACGCAGTCAGCAGTGACATCGCGAGGGCGGCGTGCTGTCCTCTGCCACCTGCGGCTGCCAGGACCGGGCCAGGCCAGTGAGCAGGGGCAGCAGGGCCTGGCCTCTTAGCGCTGACCCTTGTCCCCCTTTTATTTTACAACTCCTCATTGTGGCCTCCCCTGTACAGAAGTCCATGGAGTGGAAAAAGTAATAATTCCACAGGAGATTTTGTTTTAGTAAGAAAGTGATTCCAGTTCTTAAACACTTGAAGCCTACACTGCCTTTATTGCCTTTTTCATACATGCTAATAAAATGAGACTACAAGGAAAATATGTCATAAACAGCATTATTTTAACATAAGCTGTTAGAAGTTGAATTAAAGATATGCTTAACTTCTGTTAGAAAAGTACTTTTATCAATTCAAGAAAACACTACAGTCTTTTAATACTACAAACGGTTATTTTGATCTTAGGTTCCTCAAAGAAAAACACAGTCAGGTTGCTTTGATCTGGATTCTTCATTACTGCATCTGAAAAGCTTATCATCTAGAAGGTATTTCTATTAAAATTCATTTTTAAATATGAAACATTTCACAACATCGTAGGCTTTCACAGTAAGTGACGTTGACCACAAAGAGGCAGGAGCGGACCCTCCTCTCCCATAGCATGTTCCGCGCTCAGAGTCACTAGGAGCAAGGAGGAAGCTGAGGTGGCCACAGCTGGGTTGGCTGTCATCTCAAGAACTTGTTTTTTAACATTTAGCTGCATTTATATAGTTTTGGTCATTATTACTATTATTAATGAGACAGGGTCTCACTCCGTAGTGCAGGCTGGCCTCCAACTCGCAGTGACCCTCCTGCCTCTGCCTACCAAGTGCTGGCATTGCAGGCGAGCACCACCACTCCCAGCTTTTGGTCATTACTCTTACCTTTTATTCCTTCGCACAAAAAAAGCATTAGCAGTTTTTTCCCATATTGGCAGTTTAATTTTATGTTTTTATTT